CAATATTATTAATCTTAGAGAAAATATTATTAATATTACTAGAAAATTTATCTATATCTTGTTGTAATTATTGAATTATTTATTTATATATATAAAGTTTACTTTATTAATTTTTATATATTAGTGAATTATTGATTATAATATAGTTATCTGAATTTTTAGATAATCTTGTTTGATTATTTTTGATGGTATTTTTGTTATTAAATGATTGATTAGATATGTTAGTTTTGTTTAGAAGAGCTTTTTTGAAGTTTAGGATAAGAGATAAAATGATTAATTTATAATAAGTAATATAGTAATTTTTATATAGCTTATTAAGTTAATTATATGATCTAGTCTTTTTATTTTTGACAGTACAAAGCTTTATAATATGCATATGAAAGAAATAGATATTATATACTTTTGCATTAATTTATTCTTATTATAATTATGAGTTTTGTAAAACTAGTTTTTTAAGTATAGCTTCTGCCATATCTGTTTTAGCTTCAAAGCTGATAATAACTATTCTCTATCTATTATATTTGACTGGAGATCTTGAAATAAAACATGTTTTTGTATTAATTTTTTGAAAAACATCATCTAGTTTATATACTATTATGTCATAAGATAAGTTAACTAATTTAACTAAGAAGATATCTCTTTTTTAAATAACTTTATGTTAATTTAGAAGTGATAGAAGCCTTACCCTATCTGTTTCAAGTAATACTGACTATTCTTTGATAGCAATTTTTACTTGTTCTTTTGTGATATATTAGACAGTTATATAGGCTTATTTATTAACTATTTTCTGTTTTATTTCCTGAATTTCTTCAAATTATGATATAATTATTCAAATTTGTTTGATTGTAATATCTAGAGAGATATTTTTGATCATGATTACTATATTAGAATTAGTCTTTATTGAGAATACTGGATAATTAGTTATTAGAAAATTATTATCATTAAAAGAAATATGATTAGCCTGGTCTTGTGATTTGACAGATGAGAATTCTGTGTAAATATATTTTTTTTATTTATGATGATAAATTTTGCTTTAAGAAAGTCATATAATTCTACTAATTTATCATTAATATAGGTAATATTATCTTTGAATAATTAATTAGAAAGCAAATTTTTAGTTATCTAATTTTAATATCTTTTAGTACTGATAATGATCTCCCATTCTTATTTATTATTATTTAATTGAGAAATTTCACTATCTTTTATATTATCATATAATATTATGATATTATTTTCAGTATAATTATACTCTGATAGAGTGATTTTTATATTTAGTTAATTATATTAACCAATTAAGTTATTTATTGATATTGATTATCTTTTTGTTAGAAGTAGATTATTATTATTACTAGTTAACTTAGATATTAATATTTTCTTTTTTATATATTTAACATATAAAATATGTATATCAGATAATTTATCATATGAATTTTTACATGTACTAGACTTGATATTTTCAGAAAATATATCTGAAAATTTGTCAGTTAATAGAATAGGAAGAATAGTTACCAACTTATTTGCTTGGAAAGAAGATTGAAGATCAAGAGTATTTTTGAGATAATATAGAAGTTAGAGAAGTTTTTGAAAGGTTTTTTTTATTATATTATTCTTATATATTAGATATATTGATTTATTATTAGAAATTTAAGATAAGAAAGAAAGAAAGATAAAATAAAAGAAAAGAAAAAGTATTTTTGGTTTTTATATATTTTTAATATTTTTGTGATTATTTTGTAATTTTTAGATATAATATTAGTCATAAAGAAGTGTAAAAAAAGAAAAAACTTAATAAAATAAAAGAGATTATGAGTAGTAGACTATATTTAATTATAAGACTATGTAAATTGATATAATTAAAGAACAGTTATGATAGTTTTTTCATTTTGAATAACTTGAACTTCATCTAGTCAAGAAATTGACAGGAAAGAGATGTAAAAAAAATTTATTATTACTATTATTATTATAATTATTATTATTATTTATTATAATACTTTTCAAACTTGTTGATATTATTAATTAGTTAATATATAAATTATGATAAATATTATTAAGTTGCAAAAATCATTTAAGATAAATATATATATTATTCTAATTTATGAAGCTTATTAATATAAAAAACTATAATATAAAGATACTTATATATAATTTTATTCTAAAGAAAATCAAGATATTAATAATGAATATCTATTAATTATTTATATATATAAGTAGTATAAATAAGCTTTAATATGATTTTTAATTCAATTTAAATATAAAGTTTTTCAGTTTCTTTCTCTAATTCATAATTAATTACTTTTTTTATTTGAAGTAATCTTTTTATAAATTTATCATAATTTGAACTTGAAGTAAAATAAGCTATTTAAGAAAATTTTTATATAAAATTTCATAAATTAATAAATCTATTATATTAAATTTATTATATTATTTTACTTTCTCTTTTTTAAAATCAATAATAAGATTTATAGTATAAAAATATTAAATATTATTTTAGATATAAGAATAATATAAAATTCAAGGAAAATTTTAAGAATATTTATAATTCTTTTGTATCTATTAAGATATTAATTATATAAAAGATTATAATTCATTATTTTTCTAGATAAATAAAAAACTTTACTTTACTATTCAAAATATTATTTATACTTTTTAAAATATTTATCTTATTAATAAAATTTTTTAATAATTCTTTTCTTTCTATAATAAACTTATATATAATATCTTTATCATTATCTATTAAATAAACTTTTTTTAATATATTTTGTAAGTATAATTTCAAAATATTTTATTATAAAACTATATTATTATTATTATTATTATTATTATCTTAACTAATTATTTATTAATTTCATTCTTTTAATATAGAAATAATAAAGAAATAAAATAATTTCTGATTATATTTTTAATAATAATCTTTATTTTTTAATATTAATATTGATTATTATAATAAAAAAAGTAAATATAGTCAAATTAATATTTAAATTTATTATAAATTAATTTTGATTATAGATAATATTAATTTTATTATAAAAGATAAAAAAAAGTTATTTTAGAATTTTATTATTATATTTAAATAATATTAATTAATTATATAAAAATAATATAAAAGAAATAAAAATAATCAAAATATTTTTACTATTTTTATTAATAATTATAATAAATAAAAAAAATTTATATTTATTAATTCTTAAATTTTATTAATGAGAATAAGATTTTAATATCTATATTTTTTTATTATTTTAAAGTATAAATAATAATCTTTAGATAATTAGTATCTTTGATATAAATTAATAATATAAAAATTTATTCTTGATTTTTAATTAATTAATATCTAATTCAAGAATTTTTCTAAATTTTATAATATTATTATTAATATTAATATTTCAATATTTTTGAAATATTTATTTTTTAATATTAATAATATCTATTATTATAAATAATATTCTGGAATTTCTAATTAAAGTATATTTTTTAAATATATTTTATATAATTTTTATATTTTATATAAGAATATTTATAATATTAATATTTAGATTTAATAAATTTTTAATATTTTTTATATGATAAAAAATAATATAATAAGTTATATTATAATTAAGAAATTTTATATTATATTAAATATTTCAGATATTTTGTAATAATATAAATTTTATTAACTCAGATAATAAAGATAAGATATCTAATATAAAAATAATATGCAGTTAAGATTTAAGAATTAGATTTAATAACTTTTTCTTAGTAATTTTTATAAATGTATTATTTAATAATTATTACTTATTTCATATATTATTTGAGTTAATATTAAATTTATTTTTATAAAGAAATTATCTATAATATTTAATATAATTTTTAATAAATAAATCTTATTTTATTATAATTATATTAGATATATTATTATTTAACAAGTTAGTAAATTTAATTTAATCTTCTTCTTTTAATAAAAAATAAAAATTTAATTTAATATATATATATAAATTATAAGTATTTCTTTTTTTATTTAAATTAAAAATTTTGAGTTTTATTAATAATATTATTATATAAGAAAAATCTTATATATATCTTAAGTCTAGATTTAGTAATATATTATGTATATTATTATTTAATAAAATAAATATAAAGAATTTACTAAGTAATTTATGAGATTATATAATTACAAGTTATTTTTTAATTAGTTTTTTATTAATTAATTTATATTTATTTAAGAATAATAGTAATCTTTATTATAATAATGAATTATTTTATAATTTTATTAAATTTAATTCTTAATTATAATTTTATATCACTTTTTTACTTCAAAACTCTTTTTATTTATAATTAAATTTTCTTTTACTATTCTCATTATAATTTCACTTTTATTATATTATTAAGATTAATAAATTATTTTTATTTTGATTTATTAATTAACATCTTATTAATATATCTTTATATTTGAAATTTATTAATATACTTCATATTAGAACATCTTTCTAATAATATATTAATCTAAAACTTTGCATTATTATATCTAGTTATATATACTTTGCTAATTTTACTAATTATAAGATCTAATCCCATTCATAATATTATATAAATTGAAATTTATATAATAACATAGTCTAATTTAATATTATGATATATTAATACTATTGATTCTTACTAATATTTGATAATATCATCTATTATCAATCAAGCATTATAAATTATTTCACTTTTATTTATGCTATATCATTTATTCAAATTAGAAATCAATCTGTAACTTGTAATTTATATTAGAAATAAAACTTATATTAGAAAATTTGAAAAAAAGTGATCATAAAAAATATACCAGAACTTTTTTTTGATCTAAAAATATATTAATTAATTTATTAATATATATATATATCTATAATTATATAACTGTAATTATATGATATGATATTTTTATAGATGCTAGTAATGTATTATTATGTATAAAATATTTAAGTTATCTACATGATTTAAAAAAAAAAATAAAGAAATAAAATAATAAAATAATAATAATTCTCTTAGGTAATTATCAGAAAGATAATAGAACTTATTATTAGTGAGATCTTTTTTTTGTATCTTTTATCATAATAATAATCTCTATCATATTTATTATATCCATCATGATCTGATTCATTTAGCATTTTTTCTTTAGAATTATTATAATTATAGTTATAATTATCTACTATCTTATCTTTATTCATTTTTTTACTAAGTAACTGAAATAAGAAATTATGATTGAATTTATTATTAAAATATATACTCATTAGATAAAAGTTTAAAATTAGAAAATAATTAGTAATATAAATTACAAATTTTAATATGACTTTTAATTAATATTTTTTAACTTTTTTTTTAATAAATTATAATAAAAAATATATTATTTTATTTAGTAAAAGTAAAGCTATTTATATATATATTTAATATCAAGTTAAATACTTATTTATATTAATTATAACTTGCATTCTTCTTGATATACTTTTAATCAAATTTTTAAAATTTCTGGTTCAATTTCATTCTATTCCTCTATAAGTGTATTTATCAATTCTTTCAGATTTTTAGAATATATTAGTTATATATAAATTTATCTTTTTAAAATATCTTATAAATACTTAATTAGATTTAGATCAGAATTCTGAGCAAATTATGAAAGTGAAGTTATTAGATTTCTCTTTCTTTATTTATTCATAAAATAATTTCTGTAAACTAATATATTATTATCTTGAAAAAGATAAACAAAACTAGCTAATAATTCATTTAAAAAGAATCAAAAATACTATTCAAGCAATTCTACATATTTTTAATTAGTTATTATATTATTAACTTTAATTAATAATCCAAATGCATTTTGAGTAAAATATTATATCTTAATTATCTGATTTTATACTAGAAAAAAGATAATTAACATTATATTTTTCATCAAATCTATTATTATAAATCATTTTTGAGTATTAAATATCTTGATTTATCACTTCAAATTACTAATTTCTATTCAAGAATCTGATCTTTTCATTTTAAATATTATTTTAATTATTTACAATAATTTTTTTCAGATATAAAAGATTTTTTTAGATCAATTTGATTAAAAAATTCACTTTCATGAAGATTATGATACATAATTTTAGAACTAATTAAAATTTTCTAAATTTTTTAGTAATTTTATCAATTAATTATTACTGATTATCTTTTATAATATTAATTATTCTTCAAATATCTTTATTATTTGATATTAATAATCTATCACTTTGAATAATAATTATAATCTGACAAACTCTTTAAATTTTTGCATGATATTATGAACTATAAATTTGGGTTATTCTAGAGTTTCTCCTATTTTTTATTTAGAAAAATCACACTTTCAAGTACTGACTATCTTACCATACTCAAGATTCATAAGTTAAAAATTATTAAATATTAAAATTAGATATCTATATATTATACAAATAATAATATAACTTATCTCTTATTTATGTCAAATTATTTTTAATTCCAAATTTTTGTTCAGTAAGTATATATTATTATAATTAATTTGAATCTTTACCTTAGTTAAGTTATTATATTTGTAACTTTTACTATAATTCTGATACTTTTAATTTAAGTATTAATTTTTTATCCAGTTTAGAATTTGAAATAAATATTTATATAAGCAAGAATAAAAATAAGTATTCTAAATACAAAAGAAGAATATTAACAAAATATTTGTAAATTAATAATTTATGATTAAATTATAATAAATAAATAAAAAATTGAATTAAAAAAGTAACTATATACTAATATAGCTAAATTATAAGCCATTACTTTGCAAAATTTCTATTGATATCAAAAAACTTCACAAAGAATATAGTTAGATAAAATTGAAATATAGATAGAAAAGAAATTAGAAAAAAGATAATTTCATTATTATTAGTAGTG